TCCGCGAAAGGCTTACTGGCGGACAGCCCCACTGGGAGTCTACGTGCCGCGAGATGTGGAATTCTCGTGTGCTGCTGGCTGGGGCTCTAATGAGCGCTGGGTGATCAACAACAAGGAAATGATCAGAGGTGATTTTGTAAAGGCAAAATGCCATCTCTGACTGCACATCTCTTCGCCGTGTCATATAACACGTTATCACGAACACATGACAACACAAAAGTATGACAGGAAACTATATTTGAAGACGTTTCCTCGAGTCGTCGGGTGTTTCCGTCTTCTATGTTACACGCTTCTGCCGGGTATTTAATGCTGTTAAATCATTTTAAAGATGTGCAAACGGGTAGACGGGCAGGTAGTTAGATGCCCAGACCACAGCCCAGTAGGCACGTCACAGACCTGTAGGCAGGTCACAGACCGGCAGGCAGAACGCAGACCAGCAGGCAGGTCACAAACCAGCAGGCGGGTCACAGACCGGCGGGCAGATCACAGTCCAGCAGGCAGTCCACAGGCCGGCAAGAGTGATCTCGCTGACAGGAGCTCCAGCCGTATGCTGCTCTTCCTCCCGCCGTCCCGACACGAATGAGAAGCGGCGGGCGGCCGAGTACAACGGCACCAGGTGGAGGGCGGGCGGGGCTCCAGCCGCTGGTCGACTGAGGCCCCGGCAGGGGTCACAGGGCGAGGCGATGGGGTGCAGTGACGAATGCACTGTTTACATGGGCAGCTGAAATCCAGATCCAGCGCGTGGTCGGCTCAGAGTCAGATGACTGTCGGCAGCGTCACAGTCTGAGTCAGTGTCACAGTTTCGGCAGAGTCAGTCTGAGTCAGTGTCACAGAGTCAGTGTCACAGTCTCGGCAGCGTCACAGTCTGAGTCGATCGCGCACAGGGAATCTGGATTTCAGCTGCCCATGTCAACAGGATGGAGGAGTCGCCGGAGCCATGTTAGGCCACCGTTGCCAGCTCACTCAGGCACGCACTGCTGAGATAGATTGGACTGAAGACCACCTGCGATGCGTGCCGGCCGATTCTAAGAGCAGTACCCCGGCTCGTGGCCAGTTTCGCCATCCGCCTGGGCTGCTGTGGCGGGCGACAGCCGGCGCCACGACTGGGAGGGAGGGGGTTAATACGGGGCCTGCTGGACCGGTGGAGGGAGGGGGAGGGGGAATAACACGGGCCCGGTGGACCGGTGGCTCGCAGCTCAGGCCTCTCGCATGCGTCGTCTGTGGCTGCTGTCGGGGTCCCAGCTGGTGTCGGTTCTCCCTATCAGGGAAGAAGTGCCGCACAATCGGCTGATCTGTACGGCACACAACGTTGCCGATGGCCGATCTGCTTACTGATCAGCGCGGATCATCAGGTAATCGAATAATTGCATGCCGTAGAGAGTTTTGCACTAGCCCTCGCCCTTCCAGGCGGCCCCAGAGCCTGTCTCAGGTTTTTTGACCACTTTTCAAGACCGTTCAGAACCTACTCAGTTATAAACGGTCTTGCTTCCGGTGTTCGAATTTGGGCCCCAGCTTCGTTTACATTTTTTCTACACATGCAATTTTTGTTTAGTTTCTGATCAGGACGATTCGTGATAAATGGCCTCATTCTCGCTGAGAAAGAGATGTCCTGCATGCAGGTGGTGGATCTTCGCCGTTTCAATTAAGCTGCTTAACTCAGTTTATCATCGGTCTTTTCGGCACCTCGGTTTTCTGGTTATCCGCTGTCCGCTCTAAGATCCCGCATTAATATTATGTTTTTCATCTCAGCTTTGACGAGGCAAATCACCTAAGCGGGCGGCCTTTCGAAATCCCTTCACGGCGTTACGATTTTTCATGTTTGGCCTCTGACATATCAACCGAGATATTCTGTTTGTAGGTTAGGAGAGCTCGTGACGCACTGGTCGGCCTTGAGGAAATGGTAGCAACTGAAGTGCCTTAGTCAAATGGCATCGAAGGCATCGCATTTTTTCTAATTCCAGCTCATACATTCGGTTCTTACCCGCACTCGGTAACCAACGGCATACTTAGCCCTGAAATACTTGTCTGGATGCCACTTAGCTGCATCTTCATGATTCGCAACAGGCATAGCGCGTTTAAGCTCAATACTTTGTATCCAAACTAATGCTCCTTCCCATGAAAGCATTATTACAGGCGCAAAATTTGAGATCAGTTTTAACTGCAAGGAAATGGGATGAAGGAAGGCAAAACGCATCGTTTGGCATCACGTCTATCAAAATTGGCGACTTACGTTAACCTAAAAGCGTTTTTTAGTTTTCATGCGTCAATTCGTCCTTTTTTATTTCAAGATTTGTACTCATGGGATGATTTCATAAAATGCTGCAGGTGCAAAATGATAAACAAATACAGAATGTTGACCTAAGAGTGCCTCCGGATTACAAATGACACGGGTATTCCGATGTTCCCGGCGAAAAAGCACGGAATTTACCCCTGCTTCTATTTTCGTGCATGTCACACCTGATAGCATACCAGGTCCTTGTCTAATAGTAGTAGCGTAAACGGCTGGTGACCTATTCACACTGGCATTTTGGGATTGGAATTAACCGATGTGGAAGCGATCCATGGGGATAGCGCAGTGTTGCCACCGATTTATGGTGCCATAACAAATACAGTGTGTTTCATTTTACGTTACAATCACCTGCCTTAATCTAGCCTGTTTCCATTTTAACTGCTCCTGTTAGGATCACATCTGTTGCTCCTAGTTCCTATTTTATTTTGTTCCTACTTCTAGCCACAATTGAAGGATTGGGCTGAATATTAAATCTGACAAAACAAAGCCCATTTACAGCGCTCCAGATACTTTGAAACGTCAAGAACTCCGCTAGACGCAAAAAGTGAAAATACGCAACTTGTTAAGTGGATTTTTGATTGCCTCACGGGGAACACTGCTGTGACGCCAGAGCTGCATGAATTATGTTGTTAAGCTGTCGGAGATACAACCCCGCATACGAAACGACCAAGGCTGGGTTTGCAAGGGGATCCGAGATTACGGCGACTGGGAATAGAGCAGTTCAAAAGTGGCCATATTGCCGTGGTCTCTAAACAAATTTTGCTTAATGTTGCATGGAGAATTTGGGCTGGCTTGATCGCCGACATCTTACATCCGTGACTAAACATGAAGAAGCCGCTAGTATCCTAGCATTGGTGCCGATCTATATATATATATATATATATATATATATATATATATATATATATATCACCGGGTGGCCTTGCTGCCTGCGTTGATTCCAGATCGCGTCGAATATTCAGCTTTTATGTTTTAATTTTCCAACTTACCTTGTGTGCGAATTTTCCGTAACCTGCTGTTGTACCCGTAGCAGGCTGCCCACCGTATTTTTTTTTGTCCAAAACGTGTGTCGCAGCCTACAAACACTTGAAGTTATGTGGTGGGCGTAAGTGTACCGACACCATAAGTATGTCGGCACTTAGCTGTATGATGGTCACCGGATAAGTGTTGAGTGCGTAGAGTGCGTTGTAAACGTGCAAAAGTGGAAGATGGGCTCGATATGGTGAATAAACTAGACAAATTATACCTATGTGTGCACAACATGTGAATTGACGTAACTACCGACACCGTTTATCTGACACCCACAACTGAGCAGAAAGATGCAGTCATTATAATGGCATCGATGCAGATCTGCATAGCTCAAATCTGCATAGTTCGTTATTTTGGCGCGCCTCAAATCTTGGGGAAGACATAGTATTGATGCATCTTTGTTTGCAACCGAGTAGTCAGCTTTTTTGTCCGCAAATTACTTTGTCGGCATATCTATCTAACCTGCTGTTTATGTCACTCTAATGAAGTTTATCCACTATTTTTGGAGGTAGATGGTATTTGCTGATTTAAAAATACGTTAACTGGTATGGTGGGTATCAGGGTATTTGCCCATCTTATAAACTGGCGTAATCTAAACTGCCTACAAGGGGCGCAGGAGCGAAACAGGAAGTTCGGCTCGATGCTATGAAAAGACTAGACATAGTGCCTCTTTAACGATATGCGTGGTCTAGGTCTTTTTCACTTATAAAATCCATGTTTCCCCAGTCACTGCCTGTGTCTGTGCAGTTTGCTTTTTCGAACCATGGCCTCTCTTATTTTTCCCTAACTTAATTTTGCCCGTACATTTTAGTTAGCAAGTCACAGTTATGGTTAAAGTAATTTATTCAAGGTCACCCGCGGAGTGGTTAAAGGAGCACATTCCAGGGCGCGCGCAATCAATAATCTAAAAAAACAAAATGTTACTGAGATGATTGTTGCCAATATGTTGTATTGCCACGCACAAATCTAGAATGTTCGATGCGTCATAAATATGCCGTGAAATTTTTGGTGAGAGCACGGTATCATTATGTAAGGCATTCGGGACCGGCGGAACACCCGTTGCTTTTAAGATCGATGTAAAAACAGTGCAATGTGCCGCATTCACCGAACGTGATCGCGAATGAATTCAATAGTTGGGTCAATTCCGCCCACCGTTTGCTGCCTAGGTGACCAATGGTAGTGCCATCTCTCGCAAGACGGCAGTCCAATGTCTGGCTTCCAACGTAATCTTCCATGGCTGAGTGTCGTCGCTGGGGCTCATGGCCTGATGGAGGTGTGGTGTGCCCACGCAGCTTCTATGAGGTCACACATGTGTGTGATGGGTCTCAGCTCCATAGTCTGCACAGATTCACTGGCGTCAGGCGCAGGAGCCTGAGGATTCTGAGCATGAAAAAAAGACATAGCCGGTACATTTCACGGCATGACCCTGAAACTGGCTGTCCCAGTTCCAGCCTTCGCACGAATGTGGAACACTCTCTTTAACGTGAGACAATTTGGGGACACATGGAAGCCCCCTCCTCACAAGCAGGAGAGTTGATGAGCCGACACGCGCTCCACATCAGCTCACGGTGCGATCATTGGCGAGTAAAGCCCACTGATGAGCTTCGAGAGTCGCATCGCCTGGATTGTCGAACAATTTTGATATCATTCAACTCTTTTTTAGACCTTTGTCGCCAACTGGCTGGCAAAAATGCGTTCTTCATCGAACATTCGTCGATTCGTAAGGTTTTTCACCCCCCAACGTTGAATAAAACTCTCCTTGGTGGCGTCGCCCAGAAACTCCCGAACGTGTGAAACGTTTATTGTATGACGTAATAAGATCTATACAATATTACACGGTGCACGCTCGGCGCCACTGACCGGGGCATCACAGTATGAGTTCTGGCGACTTCAGAGCCTCACTCGGCTGGGGCCGCGTCCGCAGCACTCCACGCACTCCGCAGCAGGCGACACGGCGTCCACACGACACACGTCCACTGTTATTCCACGCACACCGCAGCGAGGGCCCAACGCTTCCACAATCACTCCGCCAACACTCCACGCACGCCGCAGCGAGGGACACAACGCTTACAACATCATTCCATCACCATTCCACGCGCACCGCAGCGAGGGGCACAACGCTTACACCAACATGTTCACTATCATTCCACACACACCGCAGCGAGGGGCACAACGCTTACACCAACATGTTCACTATCATTCCACACACACCGCAGCGAGGGGCACGGCGTCCACGCCACGTATCAGCCTCCACAAAGCTCATGACGTTCGCATACAAAGCGAACACGCTCCGGTACAGTGCGTAGCAACAACAAACGGCGATTCAGACCTGCGACGGCTGATGGGCGGGGAGAACGCTCAGCGTCGCTCACGCCCTGAGAGTGACGCCGCAGACATCGGCACGCGCCGCCGAACGCCGCACGCGCCTCCAGCCTCCGATGCAGGCATGCGGTATCAGTAACGTGACGCCGTGCGGGCTACCGAGAGCGTCACGCGGGCTTGTGCAGGTGAATACTGCGGAGCGGCGCGAGTTAAGCAAGTTAAGTTAAGCGCGCCGGCGATCCGTACCGTGTTACTGACTGTTGGGGAGATTGCTGCCATGAGTTCTAAAACTGAAGCAAGAACCTGGAGACACGCTTTCAAAGGTGCTGTTGGTATGTCGACATCACCCAGAGACCACAGACCAATCAACGACGACGTGGATGGTATGAACAATTTCCAATATTAGGAAAGCACTAGCTTAGTCAACACCGCACAGGAAAGATCCTAAGCACCTGTGGTAATAGGCGTCTTTATACGAGCGTCAAGTACCTCTATTTGCTAATAATTCATATATCATATATAGTATCTGGTAAGTACGTGCGGCCGGGGGGTTTTCAGACTAATGCAACCATTCCGAAGTACAGTGACTAGAAACTCTGGAATGAGTGACGATGAGTGACCCGGCAATGGGGACATCACTGTGATCCTCCCTACGACCGACTAATATGCGCGGCGGCCCCGCGTGAAAACGCTCACGTATTTCAAAACATGCGAGTGAGCATCTCAAGCGTTCGTGTCGGCCTGCTGAGTGATGCTTTACAAGAATCCAGTTGCCACACGACTCGCACCATCCCGTTGCGATTTTGCTCAGCGCGAGGGCACGGGCCTTCTGTCGTAGGACATCCCCGTGTCAGCAGAGTTCTCCACAGGAGAGTGTGAGGGAGTCAACAGGGACTCCGCACGTGGACTCCGCATACCGGAGGCCGGCGCGGCGGCCAGGGGGAAGGAAGGGGGGGGGGACCGACCGTTTGACCAGAAACGCTTGACGGTTTGACTAAAACGTTTCGCTGTTTGACCAAAACGCACCAAACATTGAGCCAACGCGCTGGTCGCCTCGCGCGGTGCAGCAGACCCTCCCGCGCCCTGGGAGTGAGGCTCAGGACTCCGTCCGGTCCACGACAAACCAAGCTCAGTCGGGGAAGGCGGCTGAAAAACTCGTGAAGTAGCTGGAAATGTTGGCTGGAAAATGCGGCTGGTAAGCACTGTTGGAGGTGTTTAGGGTGGAAGCTGAAAGCCTGCTTTCGCATTCTGGCGCACCAACATATTGCACGAAATAGTCAGATATTATTTTGTTTCGGTCCACCACCTCCCTCCGTCTCTGTCTCTTGTTCGCTTTCTCTGTGTTGGTTAACGCCTTCTTTTCCCCTGCTGATAAGAGTTCCAACGAATTCTTATCAGGTGTTAAATGTGACTAATCATCACCCTTTCTTTCATTTTCTAACCTTGCACACGTTCAGGGAATAAAGATAACAAAATGTTTGATCCTATATTGCTATGCTGAAACAATTAAGCCATTAACGAGAAAACGATGAGTTTGGACCGACGCTGCTATGCGCGCATGTCCGCTGGACTCTGCTCCTCTTCACTAGCTTAAGCATACGCGGTTTTCAGTGAGCAGTGAACTAACCGCACATGAAGATCACAGAGCGCGCTTTGAAAGCTCTCCAGCCAGGCTGTGAGCGTTACGACTGCCCCTCGGTATCCGGGCAGATGTCTGGCTAAACCCGTGTTACCCGGGCGGATGTCCAGCTAAACCCGTGGTACCCGGGCGGATGTCCAGCTAAACCCGTGGCACCCGGGCGGATGTCCAGCTAAACCCGTGTTACCCGGGCGGATGTCCAGCTAAACCCGTGGTACCCGGGCGGATGTCCAGCTAAACCCGTGGTACCCGGGCGGATGTCCAGCTAAACCCGTGGTACCCGGGCGGATGTCCAGCTAAACCCGTGGCACCCGGGCGGATGTCCAACTAACCCCGTGGTACCCGGGCGGATGTCCAGCTAACCCCGTGGTACCCGGGCGGATGTCCAGCTAAAACCGTGGTACCCGGGCATATGTCAAACTAACCTCTGCAGTATACGGGCTCGGGTCACAGGAGAACGAATGGACAAGGAGGTCAGACTCAGCGCGGCCGGCTACCTCACAATCTTTCTCTAGGAACAAGGAGGGACAGCAGTTTGCATTGACGGGCCAGCGGCTTCTCAAGTATGCACACATTTTCGGGGATCGATGCCTGTAAAAAGAAATTCTTCGCCGAACCGAGGAGATGCTGGACGGGGACACTGGAGACGGCGTCAGGGCGCCCATCAAACGGCACTGTTAACACACGGTCACACCGGGGCTCTTACCCAACAGCAGAGTAACCCGATAAGTGAGCGACGCACGTGTTATATAAGGCCATGGCGTGTTACAGGTGCGCTGATTTGATTAGCCAGTGGGCAGGAATGCATTGTGGAAGACCATTCCAAAGGGGGAAACCACGGCTAGGCCCAGTCACGACAGCACTGGCAGCCTTCGACCGCGTTAGCGGCAGAGCAGCCAAATGCGGCGTAAACAGCTATTCCATAAAACTATACTTACGTGACTTTGCACACAACGAGACGAAAACAGTACATTTAAGGCGGCCAGTCAAAGGAGCGACAGTCGGCATCGCCAGTGATTCAACAAATCGTTCAGCAATCAAATGCATCATCTGAAGCGCGCGAGGCCCGATGCAGGTAACGCCGTCCAGGACGGCAAAGCGTCAATGCGAGACGTTCATTGTGGCCACCTGGCTGCCTGCAAAACGTGTTAACACCAGCCCCGTGCTCTCCCCAACAGATAGTGACTTGCCTTTAAGACGGCGACTGGACTGCACGCAGCTCCCATTCCTGAACTGAGCTGCGAGCTATGTAAAGTAATATCCCCAACAGCACGGGGAGCCCGGTAACAGAGACCTTTCACCAGAAAGAAAGGACCAGGATTATGGGAGGATGGAAGAGGTTATCGATAACACCAGTGAACTTCGTCGATTTCGTCTTGCAAGTAACTCACAACTGTTCGAATTAATATGGTCCCTGAGCATTAAGCAATGATGATCGACTCACTAAAGCGCTTGGGTAGGTACGATTGTCTGGAATAATTATGCGCACCGACGCGGTGAAAATGTGCTTCGTGCTCACGCACACATACCTTCAGCTACATCCTTCAGATACCTTCGCGCTGTACAGGCCGGTGGACGATCAGCGACCTTTTAAAGCGGTTCATCCAGCTCTTGCCGCTCGCGCGAGTCCTGCGCTGAGACGTGACGCTGCGGCGCCCACCAGCATGCCCGACGTCCGCTGGATGGCGAGCCGATCGCAGCGCCACCCGTGGCGGTTTTACGCACTAGCACATCACAGACGGCCGCTGAATGACGAGTCGGTCTCATCGCACGCCGTCGTCTACAGGCGCCGACAACGCGTCCACACTGTCGGCCACAGACTGCACAGGCGGCGTCACGTGGCCCCCCTCTGGTGACGTCACACGAGCGGCATCCGGCGGCGTCGGCGGTGTCGGCGGGGCGACCGACGCGATTGGCGGCAGCACCAGCGCCCCCGACACGCTTCGCTCGATTGTCACGTGTACCCGGCCGGCTTCATCACTGACGCGGCGCGCCTGCCCTGTCCCGGCCGCCACCGCTGCCGCTGCTGCACCTCCTATCGGAGGCAGCGGCGCCGCGGACGCCGCCGACGGCGCCGGGGCCGACGGCGCCGGCCGCGCCGCCTCGAGGTCTGGCGGCGGCGCCTTCTCCGGCACGTTCTGGACGAAGATGACACGGTTGTAGGCGCGCCAGCGTCGGCACAGTTGCGCGTACACCTTGCACTGCACGTACATGAAGACGATGCCGCCAGTCACGCCTATGGCCACCACGATCAGCTTGGTCCAGAAAGGCCAGCCCAGCACTCCCGAGAGCACCTCCTCTGTGGTGCGTTCGATGAGCACATACAGCGACCAGACGACGCAGGTGAGCGCCACCACATGGAACGTGACCGAGCAGAGCAGCTTCCGCCGCTCCGAAGAGCCCATGTCCAGCCGCTCCCACTGAAAACAGGGATGTAAGGTCAACAACCGGGCTGAGGAGCACACGCTCGGGGACAACAGTGGGTGAGGAGGACACGCTCGGGGACAACAGTGGGTGAGGAGGACACGCTCGGGGACAACAGTGGGTGAAGAGGACACGTTCGGGGACAACAATGTGTGAAGAGGACACGCTTGGGGACAACAATGGGCGAGGAGGACACGCTCGGGGACAACAGTGGGTGAAGAGGACACGCTCGGGGACAACAGTGGGTGAGGAGGACACTCTCCGGGACAACAGTGGGTGAAGAGGACACGCTCGGGGACATGTTCATGTTCATGTATTTCGTAACTTTCCACAACATCCAGCGGCTTTTTACAAGTTACATGTCATCATTGATAAAAACGGGCATAAAAGAGACAATATGAAACCTAATAAAAATAGCCTAACATATCACACATCAGTCGAGGGATCGTCTCGGTGGATCACACTATTGCATTCACATTATGGCATCACACACAATCGAACTCACACACGCACCCACTCATGTGCCAACATTGGCCTCACTCAGTAGAAACTCCATAAGTTGGCGCTTGAAGCGGCCCAGACTCCGAACATTGCGCAAGTCGGGTGGCAGGCAGTTAAACAAATCCGATGCTCTGTAGCTAAATCGGCGAGTGCCAGAGTTGCTCACCGCTCGGGGGCGCCTCAGCTGGTTAGCCTGTCGCGTTTCATAAGTGTGCTCAGTACGTGTGAACATCGCGGCTATATCTGGTGGCTGACCCGTTAGTAAGACTATTTTGAGCAGGCACAACATATGACATTTGACGAGCTGATCAGCACTAAGCCATCGTAGATCCCTGACAACATCCGATATGCGGTCACACCTTCTCCTTCCGCTCACAACCCGCGCACAGAAGTTCACGAGTTTTTGCACGCGATGGAGCTGGGTGGCTCCGTGAGTACCACATAGTGCTATACAGTATCTAACGGAGGAAAGAACTAGAGCTCCGACAATGGGAACTAGGGTGTCTCTTGGGAGTACATGCTTGGCATGGAACAGGGCCATCAGAGCGCCCGTCGACCTGGCAACAAGCCGATCAATGTGAGGTTCAAATGTGATATTTCTGTCCATCACCACACCAAGGTTTTTGGCAGCACTGCTTTCAGTGACGACCGCTGACCCGAACTTAACATGCACAGGAGGCATATGACGCAGCATAGCCTTCGTCCCGAAAACCGTTAACTGTATTTTTGTTGTACTGACTTTCATAGAGTGGTTGTTAAACCAGTCCAATTCAATTGACAAGGTACTCTCCATGGTTGCGACAAACTGTTGCACTGCACTTTTCTTTCCAGTAACCAAAATATGTGTGTCATCGGCATATTGTATCACTGTAGCGGCTTCTGAATATAACGCTAGATCGTTCGATAAAATGGAATATAGGAGCGGCCCGAGGGCGGTACCCTGAAATACCCCACCCCATTCGGAAGACTACGAGAGCGCGCAGTATGCCCTGAAGGATATCTGACCTGAACCCGTGGGGTATGCCCGCAAAGGTAGCTTTCAAACCACTGTGTGCCGATATTGTACATCTTAAGCTTGGATAAGAGAAGCTGGTGGTCCACAACGTCAAAACATTTTGACAGATCTATCAAAACAAATAGAGCGATCTCCCCAGCATCTATGGCGGCAAGTATTTCATCAGTTCCTGCAGTAAGTGCGGTCTCTGTTGAAAAATTCGTACGATATCCGTGTTGTGTCTGCGAAAATAAATCATGCCCGTTAAAATATGAACTAAGTTGATGATGAACAATACGCTCGTCTATCTTTGCTATCGCTGGCACTAAAGAAATTGGCCTAAATTTGGTAGGATCGTTTAAATCACTGGTTTTCGGGAGCGCTGCGACAAGAGCGTGTTTCCAGGCGCTGGGCACCGTTCCGTCAATGAGACTGCTATTGATGACGTCAAGTAGGGGACAGCCGACACCTCGAAAAGATTCTGTAAGTGCTGCGTGCTATGATTATTTCACCCACAGGACGTCGTCGGGTTCATCATAGACATAGCTGCAAGCAGCTCATCGCATGACACAGAACGCATCTTAAATGAGCAGGTCATAACTCGGGGGAGCCTGACTGGCAAAGTGGTGCCTCGGTTCGGCACGCTGGCGGCAGTCGTAGGCCCTACCTTCACGAAGACAACAGCGGGTGAGGAGGACACGGTCTGGGACAACAGTGGGTGAGGAGGACACGTTCGGGGACAGCAGCGGAAGGCACGATTGGGCGGCAGCATTGAGACATCGCGGAATCACAATAGCGTTTTCATTAAAGTGTGATTTCCAGGAAACGTCGTGATCGTTATCAAAATTTTGCAAGAGTATGAGCAGTAAACCTCTTTATCATCTACAGGAAGACGCTTATGAACGTGTTTCACATCACCCAGAATAATTACAGCTGCAACGTAAAGCAGTAAGGATGTAAGAATGGAGCCCGTCGGGAGTAAGAATGGGGTCTGTGCTGTGTTCAGCGCAGCGAGTTTATGCAATGTTTGGCCTTCTTTGACCTAAACATCGCCACTGTTGAGCTGCTGTGCTGTTACTGGTGCGCTATTATTGTTGTGGCGTCACCGTTACGCTGTGTTGTCGTCGTGTTGTCACTGTTATGTTGTTACTGGTGCGCTGTTATTGTTGTGGTGTCACGGCTACGCTGTGTTGTCGTAATGTTGTCACTGTTATGCTGTTACTGGTGCGCCGTTATTGTTGTCGTGTCACTGCTGCGCTGCGCTATCGTCGTGTTGTCACAGTTATGCCGTTGCTGGTGTGCTGTTACTGTTGTGCCGCTGATGAACCAGCCGTTGTCATGGAGACCAGCAGCAGTTTCCGAGATGATCAGCACGGACCAGCAGGACAGAGGCATGTCAAAACGTCGACTGTACCATACCGCAAGGCCCGCAGGTGTTACTGACACAGGCGTGTCAAAAAGTCGAATTTACCGTGCCGCAAGGCCCGCAGGTGTCACTGACACAGGCGTGTCAAAATGTCGACTATACCGTGCCGCAAAGCCCGCAGGTGTCACTCATCAAAGCAGTCGGTGAGTCATTGTCGATAAACAACCACTGAAACACGGGATGCTATGGACAGCGGCCGATGGGAAAGGAAGATGAAGCCGTGATGGTGAAAGTTTGAAGACCAGGGCGGTAACCTGAGCCCCTGCATAAGACGCAGTCATAATATGCATTTCGAGGTAACCATCATCATATGTCCAGGCGCCAGCTAAATAAAACGTCACCATGGAGCTCTCTAAGTCAAGAAAACAGACCTATGGAACGCGTCACTACAGCCTTGATAGATGCCACAACTCCGTACGAAACCACTGCCGCGCTACGGACACTTCTCTGAGATGGCAGCCATGAGAGACGACTCTTCAGTCTGTGGGACAATGCAATGTTTTGGGCGTTGTGCGGTGGTAGAGTATGATGTGCCATTGATCCATCAGCACGGAATGAAATGCTGCAAAAAGTCATCCGTGCGCTGTTGCCGTCTTACTGAGATGTCACTAGCAGCCTGAGTGCGTCATCATTTCAGGTGAATGAAACGGCTCCGACACAAACGCCACCACGAAATGGAGACGCGCCTGGTGTTGGCGGCTAAGTAGGGCCTGTCGGTGTCGAGGCAGCGCAAAGGCTGCTTAGACTCAGACCAGATATGACCAGCCCAGTCTCAGACCAGACTAAGCCGCAGGATATGCTGACGAAGTGGTCGAAGTGGGTTGATGCATCGAAGTGCGGTCCAAGCGCTGTTTATCATCTACATCCAAATGTCCTATGCCGGATCTGAAATGATTTGTTAAGCGGGTATAGTGGGCCATAATATATATATATATATATATATATATATATATATATATATATATATATATATATATATATATATATATATAGACCCCTGTCATATGACCCACATATGAGGTGATGGACCACTGAATTGCATGCCAAACCACGGCAGTTTAGATGCATGTCCACAAAAGTATCTGACTTCGGTATGCACACACCCCTCTCTCTCCAATATATTACATTCCTCGACATTTCCGGGCCATCCCAGACGTGGGGAAAACGGAACATCACACAGCTCGCCCGCATGAAGCGCATGCGTGTCTCAGACTGATTCGACAGGCGTGCGTGCTGGCCTGAGATTCGGTCGGGTGGCCCAAGTGCTTGTCTCAGAATCAGTCGACTGATGTCCGCCCTTCCGCCAGACTCAGTCGGCTGATGCTTGTCCTTCCATCATACTCAGTCGATTGAGACGAGTCCCTCCATCAGACTCAATCGACTGACGTACGTCCTTCCACCAGACTCAGTCGACCGACGTACGTCCTTCTATCAGACTCAGTCGACTGACGTACGCCGTTCCATCAGACTCAGTCGACTGGCATACGTCCATCCACCAGACTCAGCCGACTGACGTACGTCCTTCCATCAGACTCAGCCGACTGACGTACGTCCTTCCATCAGACTCAGCCGACTGACGTACGCCCTTCCATCAGACTCAGCCGACTGACGTACGCCCTTCCATCAGACTCAGTCGACTGATCCAAGTTCTTCTATGAGACTCAGTCGAATAGCATACGTCCTTCCATCAGACTCAGTCGACTGACGCACGTCCTTCCATCAGAGTCAGCCGTAACGCAACAACCAGCTCGCGGTCCAACACACGGCTCTGCACGGTCGTTACGCGTCACGCTGTGGAGACGTGGCACGCGCGCGCGCGCCTCGCTCGGCGGCACACGGCCGTTCACCGTCTTCCCGCCAGACGTCGCGTGCCCGCCCCAGCGGACATCTCCCGTGAGCAACAGAAGCCGTGCACCATCGCTGGCAGGTGCTACTGCCGCGCGACGGCTCAGCCGAGGCTCAGGGGCTATGTATCTATCAGAAAGCGGATTTGAGAACGGGCACACAGCTCGCTGTAACCGGCAAACCATGCTGAAACTGAAGAAACTTTGCAAGCTTTACGCCACAGCATGTGGCTACATTTACAAATTATGCCAGTGCAACGACGTCCTACGCTGGGGAGGACTGTCGTGCATTATTGCGGCGCAGCTGTAGCCAAGGCCGCAGATATTGGTTGACAGCGCAAAACGTGGCCCACTTTCAGAAGTTCACCGTTCTTCGACTACTCCGCATTGTCGAACGGGCCTCCAGAGTAATGGGATTACGCGGATGGGACCGGCGGGCTCCGAACACAGTACAAAGTTCCCAAACCTGCCAGACGTGCTCGCAACGTTAATCGAATGCAGCGCGACCATGAAGTGCCCGGTGGAGCACGCCAAAACGTGCTAACACGGCTGGGACCTCTGCGGCTAACATGAGGTCAGCGACTACGCGCGAGGTCATGACTTATCGCGTTACCATGGTCACCATCATCTGCGAGCATCAGACTCAGACAGGAGATGATGCGGAGAACCACGGGGAGATACACACGAGAGCAGGCTGACAAGGAGCCGCCAACTCCACCCAGACTGACAGGGAGCCGCCAACTCCACCCAGGCTGACAGGGAGCCGTGAACTCCACCCAGGCCGACAGGGAGCCGCCAACTCCACCCAGGCTGACAGGGAGCCGCCAACTCCACCCAGCCTGACAGGGAGCCGTGAACTCCGCTCAGGCTGACAGGGAGCAGCCAACCTCACCCAGGCTGACAGGGAGTCGCGGATCTCACCCAGGCTGACAGGGAGCCGCCAACCTCACCCAGGCTGACAGGGAGCAGCCAACCTCACCCAGGCTGACAGGGAGTCGCGGACCTCACCCAGGCTGACAGGGAGCCGCCAACCTCACCCAGGCTGACAGGGAGTCGCGGACCTCACCCAGGCTGACAGGGAGCCGCCAACCTCACCCAGGCTGACAGGGAGCCGCCAACCTCACCCAGGCTGACAGGGAGTCGCGGACCTCACCCAGGCTGACAGGGAGCCGCCAACCTCACCCAGGCTGACAGGGAGCCGCCAACCTCACCCAGGCTGACAGGGAGTCGCGGACCTCACCCAGGCTGACAGGGAGCCGCCAACCTCACCCAGGCTGACAGGGAGCCGCCAACCTCACCCAGGCTGAAAGGGAGCCGCCAACCTCACTCTACCACCGGCTGGGATCGCCGCCAGTCCACACATGGCCGCGAACGTCGCCTCGACCCGTCGCCTGATCGGCGGCAGGGCGCGTCTGCGCAGCGACGGACCAGAGCAGAGACGGGCACAGCTGCCGATGCGTAAGCACCTGTATCGAGATACCGAGATCGATTCTTGGCTTAATGGCTTAGCCGGTGCTTTGTGAGTCAGGAGCCACATAGCTTGAAGCCTCGTGCAGTCATGAGCTGGTCACGTGGTTGGTGCCCTCACAACCGTCCCTGACGCCCATCCTCTAAAACCCAGTCTTCCGTCAAAGCTCCCCTTCGCGTCTCACCATGCTGAACGGCTTGGTCTTTGTCTGCATGATAAAGGTGAACTTGCACAGCTCGCAGCACTTGATGTCCGAGGACTTGATCCACTGCTGCAGACATGCCTGGTGAACGTACCTGCAACGGTGGGGACCAGTCTCAGTCTCATCTCAAGACAGCGCTGGCTTAAGAGGTGAGACCAGTCATTCCCACAGGCGGCCTCTAATGGCGGAATGATAAGCGGCCATGTTCATAAATATCAACGTGCACGCATATGGGGTGAAAATGGGTGAATTCTAGTCAGAGCTTTTGTTTTGAACTCCTTGGTGCATACACAGCCACATGTTAAAAACGCGAAATGAGCACAATGTTACATCTCTATGGCAAAGGACATATAATAGCCACATACTTAGGTGTGGAATAACAGCTGATGTTAACTAAGCAATAACTAGGTACTGAAAGTCAGCATTTCGGCCGATATCTTTGTAGCGCACTATCTGAAGGGAACGAGTACAATATAGGTTGTAAATTCGCTTCATGAGATTGGCTACGACTCGGCAAACCCAGGACGCCAGGATAATGCTCTCGTGTTTTTAAAACACACGAGCAACAGGCGTCGCCCATCCCAGTCAGGTGGCGAAGGATTCGGAGACATGCCGCACAGCATTAAAGGTCAGTGAGGTCTTTCAGGGCCAGTGAGATTACTAGAGGTCAGTGAAGTCATTGAAGGTCAGTGGGGTCATTAAATATATGTGAGGTCATTTAGGGTCAGTGAGTTCATTCAAGGTCAGGGGGTATTTAAGGTCAGTGAGGATATTTAAAGGCAGTGGGTCATGCAAGGTCAGTGGGGTCATTCAAAATTAGTGAGGGTGCGCTACCACACACCAGCCTGAACAGAAACAGTGAAGGCGAATAACATTTGATATTAGCGCATGTACAACTTGCACTCTGTACGTAGCGAGGCACGCATGGCAGTGCGAATGAATGTCGGAGCTGGCCCAGCTCCTGAGCTGCCCGGGGAACACAACACGTGCTTTGATCTCCGCCTCTGCCGTCGCCCGTGCCGCCGATTTCAGCCGCGGTCGGCTGTCGAAGCCGAGAAAAACGGCCGCTGCGTTGTTTTGTCGGCGGTAATGGCGCACCGGCTCGCTCGTTTACAGAAAAGGCGCCAACGGTCCGGCGGGTTGTCTCCCAGTGACCCGGCTTGAGAAAACAGGAGCTGCCGTCGGGCTGCATCACGCAATCATAGGCTTCATTTGTCCTGGAGGCCGAAATGTAAAGCTCGACTGCGCCTCAGGACACCAGGGCGCAGTCGAACCGCACACTTCTGTTCGACTCAGAACACCAAGCTTCCTGCACAGCTCGCGGGCAGTACATCGCGTTTAGAACTCCAGGCTCCCTGCACAGCTCGCGGGCAGTACGTCGTGTTTATGAGAGCAAGCTCATCACAAAGCTCGTGGGCGATACCTCGTGTCCAGGACACCAAGCTTCCTACACAGCTCGCGGGTGGTACCTCGTGCCCAGGACACCAAGCTTCTTACAAAGCTCGCGGGTGGTGCCTCGTGCCCAGGAGACCAAGCTTCTTACAAAGCTCGCGGGTGGTGCCTCGTTCCCAGGAGACCAAGCTCCTTACGAAGCTCGCAGGCGGTTCCAGAAATTTTTAACAAGTGTCTTATGAACAAACTGAAGGTGAATGTAGGTGATACAAGGTCGTAATAGTGAGGGCGATGATCAACAGACATTAACATCAGGGAACATGACCCATTGCATGAACGTTTAAAATGAAAGGGAATGAAAGAGAAGGAAAATGAATATCAAAAGAACAAAGCGGCCGAGGCAAATAAAGTAAGGCATTACAACCGTAATTATCATCGACGAAACTGAACTTCACCAAGTAAAAATATAATATCGCAAACTGTTGAAAACGAACATGGAAAGAAATACCAGTTGACACATTTTCGAATAGCAAACTATGAACGATAAGCCAAAGCAAACCTTGGACAAGCTATTCAGCTACACCGCGGCACCCTGCCACGTCTGGAGGCTGTAGGGCCGGGGGGGGGGGGGGGCAAGGGGTTTATCTGGCCGCTCTTCCAACAGCAACACGGTGGCTGGCAGACAGTGACAGCCGGCTCCAGGCTGCTCACCCCCGGGATCGTGCAAGCAGCGGGGTACCTGCTCACCGCAGGGACCGGGCTCAGTAGCGGGGTACCCGCTCACCCCAGGGATCGGGCTCAGTAGCGGGGTACCTACTCACCACACGGATCGGGCTCAGCAGCGGGGTACCTGCTCACCACAGAGATCGCGCCTGTAGCGGAATACCTGCTCATTCCAGGGACCTGCGCAGTGGTGGGGTATCTGCTCACCTCAAAGATCCGGCACAGTAGCAGGGCGAGATCAGAGGCACCTCGCTGTCCCCCTCACAGTGACAAATCCTGTCGGACAGGAGGGCCCGATGTCAGCTCCTGCCCTGACAGGACACAGCAGGCCAAATGACACACACGAGAGGTTTTGACTGCATACGTGAGATGGATGGACTCGGTACTCAATCGTGAACTACGAGTGCATGAGACCTGGCATCGTAACCATCTGGTCATGACGTAATAAACCACCTTTTTCTGATACCAGTCACACTGAGCTATCACCAGGTCATATTAGGTCACCAAACAGGCCACTTCCATACACCGCAAATAGGTCACGTCACGTTCTGACAATGTACGGGTCACAGGCGAAAACTAGGTCCGTTAGGATCTCTTGTTCGTGTCACCAGCGTCTAATATCACGACGAAAAAGTCATTTCGAGAAACAGCAGCTCTGTTTACAAGTCGCTTTAGCTCCCAACCACAGCAGGTTTTAATGGGCAACGATAATGAGACGCCGCACGAGCACAGCCTTAGTTGAGAACAAAGAACTTCGCAAGGATAAAAGCTCGATGGATTACGGTTGGGTTTAGACTTTTAACATGCGCTCGGGAGAGGATCAAATTGACCCCAAAGGTTTTCCCAGAATGCTTTCCGAACAGCGCGGCTTAGCCGCGCCAAATTTTGCATAGATGTAGATAATTGAATAGCGGATGACTTCATGTAAAAAATTAGATGCACCTTGTACCGTAGCTGGCTTATGGCGGGTCAAAATCAGGCCATGGTTTCAGCGAAGGCAATTTCTAGGGAATCGTTCAATCTCATACAACAACGGAGTGCTTGACGAAGGCATACATCTCTGAGATGCTTTCATAGGCAGCATAAATATAACAACGTTGACCTAAGGTCAGGTATGAAGGTCAGACGAAGGCCAAAAACAACCTGTTTTATTACTCTAGGGCTTGCTGTATGGGATAGCTTCTGAGGCTCATTTCGAATTTATTGGTGGTAGGAGCCGCATCCTTCATCTTCCATTTACTTCCTAGGTCAGCATAGATCATTGAACTAAGATGACCCAGATCAACATTTTGCTTTTAGGAACATACTGCTTAGAGTAATCTTGGTCGCTTATTCAAATGACAAACTCAGAGCAGTCTTGTATGATTTTGGTCACCACGACCTACAAAAGGTCAAACAAGGTCACTGACCTTAAATAAGCTTGTGACTTTTTGCTTAGAAAAAGTTGTCTAGGTTCTGGGGGCACTTTGGAGACAAACCTGAAATTTCACCTTGTTTGACCTTATTTGACCTGAAGGTCATTACCTAGGAACCTCCAACTTTGACTTAAGTGAGTTCATGTACAGGTCAATACACCCTGTAAGTTTGGTGTCTCTAGCTTTCTTATTTCTTGAGATCCCACGGGGTCAAATTGACCCCCCCCCCCCCCCACCCGAACGAAGGATATGTACCCGGCCATCCGGGCGCGTTTTAAGACGTGCGAGTGCTGCATTGCTTGGGTGTACCTAAGCGGAGTTCAGATCTGCATTGTACTTATCGCCTTATTCCTCGTAGATTAATCAAGCGAATGGAGAGATAGATGTCATATTTCGGCAACATGCTTTTAATAAAACGAAAAACCGGTTCTGGTTGGCTGGAAAAAAATGGGAAAACTGGCCTTAAACCTTCACCTGGTAGGTAAAGGCTTCGCGGGTCGTCGCCACAGCAACTAACCCTGCATGCACCAGCGTCATATCCCCGTGATTCTGCCGACATCTTAACCGCACAATTGTTATCGACACTGACCCCTCCCCCCCCCCTCCCCGTCCTCCTCCCTCTTCCACACCGCGCCGCCTGGCAGGGAAGGGAGTACAGCACGTGGTCCTGCATCTGGCCGACGGTAACGAGGCGAAAGTGCCGCGCGTGGCGCGGTGCGGCCGGTGCCCCAGCCGCCGGCGGCCCTCACCGATCTTTCCGGCGGTTCTGTTTGGTCAGTCCGGCGGCCCTGTTCGGTCAGTCCAGCGGCTCTGTTCGGTCAATCCGGCGGCTCTGTTCGGTCAATCCGGCGGCTCTATTCGGTCAGTCCTGCGGCCCTGTTCGGTCAGCCCAGCGGCTCTGTTCGGTCAATCCAGTGGCTCTGTTCGGTCAGTCCTGCGGCCCTGTTCGGCCAGTCCGGCGACCCTGTTAGGTCAATCCAGCGGCTCTGTCCGGTCAGTCCTGCGGCCCTGTTCGGTCAGTCCGGCAACCCTGTTCGGTCAGCCCAGCGGCTCTGTTCGGTCAGCCCAACGGCCCTGTTCGGTCAGTCCGGCGGCCCTGTTCGGTCAGTCTGGTGGTTCCGTTCGGTCAGTCCGGCCGCCCTGTCCGGTCCGTCTGGGGGCCCTGTCCGGTCCGTCTGGGGGCCCTGTTCGGTCAGTCCGGCGGCCCTGTTCGGTCAGTCCGGCGGTTCTGTTCGGTCAGTCTGGCGGCCCTGTCCGGTCCGAAGAGCGCAGTGTCTGGTTGTGGTCTGGGGTGGACCGTTGGAGCATGGCACCGGGCAAAACCATGTGCTGTATCGTTAAGCCTGTGCTGTATTGTTAAGCCCAGTTTACACAAGCGACTCCTCCGGCGAGAAAAATCGTGAAATGTCGCTCAGCCGACGTTTCCACGGAAGCAATCCCGCGGTGGACGAGGTGACGGAAGGTAACGAGAAGTGACGAGTGACGTAAGTAATCGGAGTATTGCGTAACGAAAAATATAGAGTTTGAATGTGATAATGGGCAATAAAATAAGGCACGGCAAGGTGCCCTGCTGTTGCTTATCACACATAACAGGCACATCCTAAACTAGCAATGTGCATGGGTGACAGTTTTATTTTGAAAGGCACCGGACGTTGAATAGAAGGTCACCCACAGCTAAAGGTAATTTCCGTTCCAAGCGCTGCGCCGGCATGACTGAGCATGCTCCGTGATCTGGCGCGGGGTGACGAGCACGGCGCAGCGGCGCGTTTGGTGCGCGTCGGCCATACCGCAATTGTCTCAGTCTACTTTCCACTGTGGCCAGCCAAACGGGACGCGACAAAGCAGGCTGTGATGTGATAACACCTATTCAGGCCAGATATGCCGTGTGCACACAAGCGATGTAGCGATCTCCGCACCGCACCCGGCTAAAGCGACTCGTCCGAGGCTACGGGCTGCTGACATGAAAACTAGCACGGGCAAAAGCGGCAAAACACCACTTGCGAATGCTACGTGATTGTACTGCTGAAAAATGCAACAACAAAAGTCCAATGAGCAGCAAGTGAGCAGCAAGGTGCGAGTAATGCGCAGGTCCGGAGCTGTAGCCCACGTCTTTCTTGCAAAGCATAGCGAGTAATGCGCAGGTCCGGAGCTGTGGCCCACGTCTTCCTTGCACAGCATAGCGAGTCGTATGCAACCCCATGAAACAGGCGTCTGTTTACAAAGCGCGTGCTATTACAGACTAACAACAGCATCAAGCGGCAATGCTCGTATCATGAGCTGAAAGTTTTCTCTTGGTATGCTGTGTGCACACAAGCATGCCAAGACCACAGCTCGAGATTTCGAGTCCCGTCAATATAATCGTTCGTTAGCATTACACCGCCGTCCGTCGGCATTACTAGCCCTTCCTGACATATTGAAGGCCATTAACTGAACAGAAGAACTTTCAACTTATAATGCGGAAAAACCGTCAGATGAGGGTCTTTCGCTCTTATTAAACGCCCTGCCTGCGCTCGCAAATTGTACATTAGTGGCGCAAGCTCCCGGTTCGAGACCAGGATGTTTGCAGCTAAAGTTTGCCAGTGGCTGCCAGCTAATTAAACGAGTTTTCAGACTTCTCTCAGACCATATGGCTTTGGAAGTTAAACAAAGAGTGAGCTTGAAACGTGGCCATCGACACCGCGCACCGACCCATTTTTACGGACGACGCACGTCGTGAACGACCCGCAAGCAAGCACGGATCAGATACCTCGCCCATGTCAGGTTCAGTGCCTTGAGTAGGCATTGCATTTGACGCCGAGAGAGCGGCAATTCCTGTTTTCCGGAAGTCACTGCGTTTCACTTCGTCCGCTTGAGACAAGCAGTGATGGTGGCTGGTGGTTTTCGGACGCCTCGACTTCACAAGCTGTTTTGCGGCGTATTTGGCATGATGGGAGCAGCGTGGTGTTCTGATCATTACGCTCCTCCCCGCCGTGCAGACGGCTACGTCGACCCGTTCGTCACGTCCAGCGGCAGTGCTGGTTTTCTCCGTTCTGTTTCTGAGGCACGCCTACCGCCCCACGTCAGGCGACGAACTCCCTGAAGCGACGAGTCTCCTGCTCGCCATCCCTGCTGTAAGAGTCTCATCGAACTCTTTTCCCCCTCCACTTGCCGGGATAGTTACCACCAAGTCTGATTGGGTCCGAACGCACTAACTTTCGGGAAGATTGGCTTCTTTGTCCTGTGACCGCACAAAACAACATGTAAGCTGGTTAGACCGCCGTTGTCTTCACTGCAGGCTCAGACGCTTGTCACCTTTTGTAGAGGGTCCGGACTGGATGTCACCAGCGGGTTTCTGCCGCTGCTGCAGTGAATACCACACTGTTCCTAGTGTATGTCTGTCGCAATGGATGTTGCAGTGTTATTAGTGCCTGAGTGTCCGCCACAGTAGGTACCACACTATTCCCAGTGCCTGAGTGTCTGCCACAATGGATATTACAATGTTACTAGTACCTGAGTGTCTGCCACAGCGGATATTACGCTATGTCCAGCGCCTGCACCTGCTGAATTCCCGGCTTTAGGCACTTCCGCACGGTATCTGTAGTTATCTTTGTATTTCCATTTAGTAGTTACCACACTCAGTAATGCTCCGGCTCCAAGGAGTCCCACACTGTTCGAGTGAGGTTCCCGTTGCAGGGAGTCCCGCACCGTGCACAGCGTCTGTACCTGGAGAACTCCCAGCTATACGAAATCCCACACTGGCCTCAGTGAGATGCATGCTGCGAAGTTCTACGCGACGTCCAGTGGAGCCCCAGACGTAGGGAGTCCTCCCCTCCCGCCCCTCCCGGTGCCTGTGCCTGCAGACGCCCCCCCCCCCCCACACACACACACGCGCACGCGCACGCACACGCACACGCACACGCACGCACGCACACGCACACGCACACGCACACGCACACGCACACGCACACGCACACGCACACGCACACGCACACGCACACGCACACGCACACGCACACACACACACACACACACACACACACACACACACACACACACACACACACACACACACACACACACACACACACTCCCGGGTGCCTGTACCTGCAGAAGTCCCGGCTGTAGGAGAGGGTTGAGGCCCGCGAGCTGCATCTCTCGGCTGCTGACGGCGGCGTCGGTGACGTCACGTGAAATGTCTCCTGAAACATGGAGTAACGTCACAGGGGACGTATATCGAAACACGGGCAAACAGGACGTACCAGGCAGGCGAAAACAAATCCTCTGAAGGAGGCATAAAAATTATCAGACAGACGGGCATACGGGGGTGTCGGCCCCAAATGGACTGTCCGCTGAAAGACGGAAATGCCTCAGTGGTGGCTTTTCCTGTACGTCGCCTGAAACACAGTCGTGATGGCTACGTGGTCTGCTGCAGCGCAGGAGTGTCTTATTCTCTTCGACGTCACGACAATGTCTGGCTGTTAACGTCACGTGCAATGCGACATTTCGACGGCACAAACGTCGCTCGTGCCCTGCCCGTTTGGCGGGAGTTTCTAAACCAACAGACACTTGCGGGGAGGGTGGCAGCAAATTGCTGGACGTTTGCCTCAGCAACGACAGTAATCTCCTTTCCTGAAATCGGAAAGGGTAACTTTCGGCAAATAATTGTACTTTGAACACTACTCAGACACAACATGTGCTTCCAGGTCAGCCATCACAAAATATAAGGGGCGTAGTTTCGGAACATAGGTTAGCGGGGCTAAACCGTGCACACTTTATAAAACCTTCATCGAAAATTCGCCAAGAACAGATAAAAAACTGAGCAAAAATGCTTCTTTCCAGAATTTGGCTCAGTTTTTCACAAAGTTGGGGGGGGGGGGGGAGCTGAAGCCCTCGCCGAAATGAAACGGGAACTACAGCCATTACGCCACTAATGGAAAACGACCAAATGGTGTTATACCAAGACAGCTGAATCTGCGATAGCCTTTCTGCGATACAAGTTAAATGTGGCAAAGGGTAGGAATCATGCAGGAAACACGCCGCATCCACACCCTTCCAGAAATGTTGATCTCATGTATATGCAAGGAGACCCACGAAGTCTTAACGTGAGCACGAGCTGTTATCCCAGCACCCCGAACAGGTTTGCTTTCTCATTTATTCGATGATGCCGATGACGATGTCGCCAGCCAATCGGAAGAAAGCTGCAGAGTGTTTAGAGCGCTCTGGAGCCCACGGACTGTGTCAAAAATCAACATTATTGAGGCTGTGGCTACGGGTACACCAAGCACACGTGCCATCTTTACCGGCAATTACGTTCACAAATACGGCTGCACAGAAAAATTGAGCATCAAAACAATACGCAATATATATTTCGACAGACATGTCCCTGATGAGTCATGCACAGAAATGAGCGAAAATGTTTGCTAGTGGTTTAATCTTAAACAATGCACCCTTCGCAGCCAGAATTCGCATGGACTGAACGGAATTCGACTTCGGAAAAGTGAATAATCAACCATGTGGTCACTGGCAGAGCGCGTATTCGATGCATTCTCAGGATCACAATCATACCGCCGATGGCATAATTTTGATCCCGCCTGCTAGCCAACTATAGCTCTGGCTATGCTTGACCTGCCACCCAAAATGGTGACCGGGACGATCGCGGACACGTTCATGTCTCTTATCGAACAGATTTAAAGCCTTGGGTACCAAATGAATCCACAAGGTGTCCCACAAAATAAACTCTCGAACGCGAACCCACAATATATACACACATATATATACAACACACATATATATATATATATATATATATATATATATATATATATATATATATATATATATATCCTTGCCAACTGCCACTTATTGCCAGAGGGAGACTAAACGCAGACCCTGCAAGTGTCTCAGGTCTTGTGTCGGATTATATGGCATATTAGGTGTACTTGTCACCCCAAACGTAGCTGAAAATGTTCTTATCGTCATGTCCCAAAAAATCCACAAAACTGACTGACTCAAACACCATGCTGAACTTGCAGTTCCTAGGGTTTCCTTGCGACATCAAATGTAGCTATATGTGTCTATCACCATGTTCACATGATTCCACAACATACCTTTGGTTGCGGTTTACTTGGCCCAGCCAAGCCAACATGCACCATTCATATCGAACAAACCGGCATCAATCTTGGTTTCAGGCCAGAAACAGCTATTATGATGAGGTGACAGGACCGAAACAACTTGTTCGAGGTACGGAACTACACAGAAGCGTCTCACACGGCCGAAAGCAATTCAAAAGCGAAATTGATACGTTTGTACCGACGGGAGTACGGTCACATAACCCCGACGGCGTCTCATTCCACGGAGTGGCAGCCGTCCGCCAGAGGACCAGCGTCAACAGCAGACGGGACGTCGGGACCCATCAGGTCAGCTTGGAACACGACATAAGTGGGAGGTGGCTCCGATGCCGGTCATTTGCGCTTGCGCGGAGAAGTACAGCTGCCTCCATTGGCCAGTTACTCGCAAAGACGGAAGTGAATGGTAAGATGCCCTAGCGACGCGAACGCGCATTGGCTATGGCTTTTGAAATCAGCGCACGTGCTTGGGACCTTCGGAACAACTCAGCTCTGCACGGTATATCATTTGGCCTGAACCACTCATTATCGTGCACTTGAATGAATTTGTTTCTCATATCGGTTTTAGGCCGAATGTCGAACGTGTTGTGAGGGATTCGCTTCCAGAGGTACTGTTCAAACACTTCTCACGTTCGGTTCGGCTTCTCACTTTCTCACCTTCGGTTCATGTGCTTTCCGGGCTCTGGGACGCGCATCAGAGTACGACTATTGACATCCTGGAATCTTTATTGGGTTGAACGCATTTCGCCTTCTTTGTGAACCCATAACTATCAAGCAATAAGACTGCTTTTTGTGCGGGATGATGTGCTTGACTAAGGTCTTGCCGCATTCTTTATCTCATTAAATAATTACGTAACAGTAAGGCATATTATGTCTAATTTGACGAAGAAGCACGTCTTGATAATAAAAACATCCCCCTAATTGCCATGTGATTTCAATTTGAGCGCCAAGATTTTCAGCTTATGATGTTCAAATCAGTTCAGGGATGTGCAGACCAGATCACTCCCAGACCTACGCCACATGCAAGCACAAACTTTGCCTTTCGCTTAGCATCGAACATTTCACATAAATAATGACGTTAAACTGCGCAGACCCTCCAGCATGTGATGACACAAACGCACGTGCATTTAAAGTTACTAATAAATGTTTCGGCCCATAGTCACCGTAGATAACGAGCGGCTGATAGAGCTAGTAACGGAGCTAACAGAGGTAATGCAAGTTGGATTCCTTCCAAGAAGTCCTGTATGCACTGAAGCCTAGCTGGGATACCAATGCGCAGTTAGACTAGTGGGGCACGGGTACATCAGAAAGCTTCAAACGTAACTAATGGAGCTTTTAAGTAGGGTTCTCCGCGTTGAGTTACGTTAGAGGGGCACGTGGCCCATTAAAGCTCCTCATGAAGATAATACTATCGATCAATGCGCACATATCATGGACTAACGCATTATGATTGCCTATTAGCAGTTATGTTAGAAGATCACATGCGGCGAGCAAAGCTTCTAAAAGAGCTACCTAATACGACGCCCGACGAACAGTCTAAAAACGCTAGAGCATGTGCGCCCTGGCCCCTGACCTTTGTCTCATGCCGCATCCCTTTGTCCTCGAGTCGCTTGGCCCTGTCGACTGGAGTGACACTGATCTGGTGCAGGGGCATCATGGGGTGCCGGGTCGAGCCGGGTCAGGTCATGGCGCCGCCGACCGCCAGCGGTCAGTCGGGCACGCGCCTCCTGCAACGGAGGGGTCACGGGGTCAGCGCTCTGCGACGGAGGGGTCACAGGGTCAGCGCTCTGCGACGGGGACCGCTGCCTTGCAACATGGGGGAAGTGGAAGCGGGGTCCGTAGTGCGACGGTCATGAGATGAGACAATTAGGGAAACACGGTAGCTCGCAGCTTTGGACAACAGACTGAAAACGGCGACGAGGCCAGAATCTCGCTACGAAGGAGATCAGTGCGGAGTCAGAGTTGGTCAAAGGGGAGAGTAGCGATAATGCCAACATGGTGACTAACAATGATGGTAAGGAGTCTTAGAGGAGACAAAGAGAATGCTACCAGTGGATTAGCGGAGTACCAACCACGAGATGACTAGCAAATGTCCAGTGAACACACCAAGGAATTAATGATGCCTGCGGCATGTTAGCATATAGATATATAGTACAGTTAATGCCAGACATACATGTGATGTGGTTGGGCTTGACGGGCCCAGGCTGGTTCGCCAAGCGCAAGTAGACGAAAACAATAGCACCGCGCCGCCAACCAACCAAATATTTATGTCTGGGGTCAACGGCCCGTCCATGAAAGGAGAACAACGACGTTCAGCATTACGATTGCAAATTTGAGTAAATAAGCAGCGAATGAAAACATTCCGCTGCTGGGGTTCAAGATTCCTTCCAAGAGCCCCGCTTGCTTTGCATCCCGTCATCGTCCTCTGGCTCAGCCACGTCTGCCACGCAAGATGTGTTCAAAGAGCGCCACCACCTCGACGGCCGCTATTATTCGTAGCAGGCTTTCACGCGGCATCGCACGGGAGCCGCGATCTGTCACTTATTCCCAGCTTCCGTCCGCTTACGACGCTGAAACAAATTCCAGGCTGCGAGTCTCTGAAGTTATCTGACGTCCCGCAGATTCAGCCAAACAAATTTGCTGTTCGGCACAAAAAAGAAAACATGGAAGTGGCCTTGGCATATTAACTACCTAGACTCAGCATGGAGCGCAGATACATGGCAATGGTTCGCGATAGTCGGTATAACACAAGATAAAACCGCTGATGTTTCTGTTATCATTCAGTCGGTGGCTTGTGCACCAGCTTGCAGTTGGATGGTTAAGACTGCTCATGGGCCAAGAAAACAAGGAGGTTATCCCACTTGCCCTTTGCGATATATAAATATTAATCTTAAAGATAGACATAAAAGCAAATGAACACATAACCAAGTCCGGCGTATCCAACTTTGGGCGATCCTTCCTCACTGGGCTACCCCCTCACTGTCATCTTGGGCTTTCCAGTGGAACGCTAGGCAAGGAAGCCATAGGTGCGGCCGCATCCATTCCAGTAGGCTGTCGAGGACATGAAACCAACAAAGTTGGCCATTGTCAAAAGGACCGGCCATTTCGAATTTACTTGTGTTATTCGTTTCCACAAAGGCAAGCTGCCTAAATATCAATGCATCTATATCCCCAATCTCCTGTTCCCCTCTCCCCCCCCCCCCCCCCCTCGAAGTATAAGGCATTACTACCGTCCTGTCTAGAGACAAAAGAAGTCACTATTTTGCATTCAGACGTTGCGTCCCAAACAGCAGTGACACAGGTGTGCCGCGGCAAACACTAGATCTTGACCAGTGGGAACCCACGCTTGTTTCGCTGCGAGAACCTATGCTCGCATCACAGTGAGACTCTGCGCTAGCGCCGCACGCGGGCATTGCGAACCAACGAGCGAACTGGCGCCGCGCCATTGTCATCGCCGGCGCCGCGTCTCCGGACTCCGCGCCGCGTCTCCGGACTCCGCACCACCGCCATCGCCGGCGCTGCCTCCGGACTCCGCTCCGCGTCTACGGACTCCGCGCCACCGCCATCGCTGGCGCTGCGTCCGGACTCCGCGCCGCGTCTCCGGAATCCGCGCCACCGTCATCGCCGGCGCTGCGTCCGGACTCCGCGCCGCGTCTCCGGACTTCATCAGTACACCATCAACAAGCCGCCTCATCGAACCGACATTGTCAGGCGACTCGTGTCTTCGTCAGCGCAGCAAAACCTGACCGGGTGGGCCGAGCCGGGCGGCAAAACCATCCCGCCACGCTGGCCGGCTCCGCGCCACGCGCCACGAGCCGCGCGCCACGGACGAGATGGGCGCCGGTGCAGCACGCCGGTCGGGGCGGCGCCGCTGCCGGCGCACTCGGCCTGTCAGCGCCAGGTCATGTGACTGAACACGACGGGCCGGATATTCCGTCCAAGCGTGTTGTGTAGCAGCTGCGCTGTTAAATGCCCCCGGGCTGCGTGAGTTCATTCCTCTGCAGGCAGCTGACACATATGGCGATCGGTGGCATCGTCTGCAGTCAGGATTATTCTCATTTCACCCGCCCGAAAGATACTCAGAGAACGTGGCCAATGGAAAACGTGGCAATATGCATTTGGTATGTCATATTGGAATGACCTGGCGAATATTTCAGCACGCAAACGACCTCCGCCCATTTCTGTCTACAAAAGTGCATCTTATTATGACGCGTTTCAAGCAGCCGCAGGCCGTTCCCTCGTCACTGTTGGAGTGGCGTCTCCTAGCAACGTGCCAGCACCGGACACGCACCTCCGCGACGGCGCCATCGCGACGCTGCAAGCGCTGATTCCCTCCCGTGCCTTGGAGCCCGACGGAAGGAGCCAGGGAGTCAGTCACGTCCGCCAGGAAGTCAGACTCAGAGTCAGAGTCTGCCTGGCCGCGCCGCTGTGGACGGCGGACCGCGTCCACCGCAGGGCCGCCCGCCGTGCGGTGGACGAGAAGCAGCCGTGCGCGGCGGGGAAGGCCGAATCAATACGGCGCGGGGCCGGCGGCCAGGCAGGACCGCGGGGCACCGAGCCCGTCCTGTCCCGTCTGGTCAACGGAGCGGGAGGTACGTCAGCTGGTCTGGGAGGTGCGTCAGCTGGTCTGGAGAGGTATATCGACTGGTCTGGCAGGCACGCCAGCTGGTTTGAGGAGGTACAACAGTCGGTCTGGGGAGGTGCATCAGCCGGTCTGGGAGGTACGCCAGCTGGTTTGGGAGGTACATCAGCCGGTCTGGGAGGTACGCCAGCTGGTTTGAGAGGTGCATCAGCTGGTCTGGGGTGGCACATCAGCTGGTCTGGGAGGTACGTGGTCCACGCACGTATGCTACGTGTTGCATGGTATAAGAGGCCAGCAACAGCCTTTCTCATAAGAATTGTTACAAACCGGTTGTATTTTGTGATTTGTAATTTAGAGTTTACAAAGCACGAATTACAGCTGATTCATAAAGCCAGCGCGCGTTGTACAATCGAAGTTGTAAAACTCGACGCCGCGTGTAATTTGCCGCCGCCAATCACCGGCCTTGCCAAGAACGTGTATGCCCAACCGACTCTTTAGCACCCCATACGCCCCACGTTAACGTGACGCCACTGGAGTCTTGACACAGCGAGGGCAGCGCGCAGCCCCGCACGATGCATATTACGATCTGGATATTTGCGTTTCCGTTGGTTACAGCTGCATTGCATTCCAAATTTTCTGAGAAAAGGTACCCTTTCTTCCTTAAGTCCCTAAAAATGCGTTACGGTATCAAATATTGGTTCCGTGTAATTCGGCAAACCTAACCGAAATTACATCGCCCATACTGAGCGGGACGTTGGCGTCAATGCACACGGTCAGGCTCACTGTTCTCGCTGTCCCCGCTTCTTCTGGCGCTGGTTTCTGTGTCACCTACGTACACGTGGCCAGGGTCGCGCTCAGAATCTTGGTGGAGCGGAGGTGACACAGGGCTTTATAAAAGGCCCCTGATGTAAGTCCCCAAGTTTTGAGCGGACTCCAGTTTCCTTTCCTTTCTTTTGTTGGTTATTGGGCCCGCTGTCCGACTCATCACCATTCCATTGCCCCAACCAATGCGGACCCTTTTATTGCCCTATTTCATATCTCTGTTTATTGTCGGGGGCCCCGAATAATGCAAGAAGCCCGCTGACATTTCAGGCCCTGACACTGCCCCTTTCTAGCAAACGGGTCCGTTGCTGACTCGGATTCCCTTGCTGACACACGATCCCTTGTCAGGCACTGCAGCCCCACGATAAGACACAGTGGCTCTATTTCATCTGCGCTTAGCTAGCCTCCGCGCCCACTTGCCATTAGTTCGTACCAACAGCAGGGACTCACCGAGATTTTCTTAAGAGGGAGGGGCAGACCTCGGCGAGAGCGCATCACGCCAATTTTTTATCTTTTAAGAGCGCAATGATACAAATGAAGATCTGTGGGCCGAACTGGGCGCCCCCTTGACTGCGCTCCTGCACAAAAATCAAACAGCAGCGACAGCAGGGTTTGAAGACTACGACCTTGCAGGCAGGGGTCGGTTTGTTTCTTTTGTGAGGGCCCTCGTGTGACACCCGTCCACCATATTTGGTTGCCCCCTCACCATTGTTCTGATCCCAACGCTACAAAATCTTAGGAAAATATAACTCTCACAAGGACTTTCTTCAGACGTTACCTGCGGTTCATGACCGTACTACTAATATAAAGGACTATTCCGTGCCACCAACTTGAAAAACTATCATACGTCAAGTGGCCTAAGAGCCGTTGAGAAAGGTATTTAGGGCGAGGTTAGGTTCACAGTTCCTCACGAGGGCGTAATATCGCTGAATAATTTGTTGGGGGGGGGGGGGGATGGCTCGCTCTATCACAAAATATGCATTTCACCTGGGTCCTGGGCTTATCCCCAATCGTTTAGAAAAGCTCACGCCCCAGCTTTCAGGACAATAGAAACACTAACCGAACCAGTACGACTTTGCTTGATACTTCCAATCAAATTTTAAATGGTCATTTATTGTCTGGCCTCCAATCACTTTGAATGCTGCATCTACCCCACGTTTCCGCTACGCCACGGCAATGGAGCTAGCAGCGGCGGGGGCCAATGACAAATTAGGCTACCAATGACGTCATTGCCCTGTGCTGAGTCGCACGGGATTCCATCAATACGAAATCTAAGATCTCCTCTCCCCCTCCCCCTCCTCCTCCAGTGTTTGGCCCACCAGCTGGCATTGCCAATGTCCGACGAGCGCAGAAAAAAAAACAAATTATGCCATGGATCATCATAAATATCGCAGTTTGTAGACAAAAACAAAAGCAATGTATCGGAAGTCTCAAGGAACAGAACATCAGGTCCCCCAATGCCAGTAACCACGTAAATACGTCATTGTATTCACCGTGCGTCTTACAGTTTTAAGCAGAAGTAAACAAATATAATATTGGCACTATCACGGCAACCAGCGAAACAGTGACTCAGTGAGCCAGCATAATACTAGTGTTCTGTTACCATGATAGACACCTATATTCTACTCACAGACAGGGGACTCATGCATCGTCCACACCCGGCGACAGCTGCCCCAGTTTGGCGTCAGGGTGAATGCCGTCGCATGCCCGCAGTTTGATAGGATGAGTATACCTGCTTTCACTTGTATCAGTAGAAACTAGAATTAAAATTAAGACATTTCATAACCTGTTAGTGCAGCCATTTCATCCTGGCAGCGACTTGGATGCCAGTACACATACTCACGGAAAACGATCACCTTCGTACTATCGCCTTCCCACCCCCTCAACGCGCGAGCACAAGACAACGCAGGACTTCGATCGGATCGGTGCGGCTGCCAAGGTCACTTATAGTGATGGGTAATAGCGCAAAGGAATAAATTTGCTGCACGCTTGGTTGCACGGGCCAAACGCGGAGCTAGAGATTGTTGAATCCATCAACACCGTCACTAAGTTGCTTCCTCTGAGCAATGTGTCCTGCGAGCTTGTTTATCCTTCCACTTCCTCTGAGAGCTTGCTTATTTTGCCCCGGGAGATCTTGCAAGCCTCCTTCTTCTGCGAGCATCGTGTCCACTACTCATTTTGGCTACGGGCATTGCCTTAAGTTTACGATCACCTTTTCTACAATGGGGTAAGCCATCGTTGATTTGTAGTTGTGATCTGTGCTTTTAGTCTTGCAAGTGCTCCGCGGCTGGAAAATCAGCTGGCCTTTATGAAACATACCAAGGTAAACATCGTAGAAATTCTCGCGAGATCTGTAATTTTTGTGTGTGGTTTTATAGATTTGTAATTTGTAGTGGCTGTTTGTAGGTGTCTGCTTTATAAAACACATTTTTACCAATACGCCTATAAATTTACAAACTACAATGCAAATTTACAACAAACTGCCTTTATGAGAAAGGCTTCTGGTCTGGGACGGGATGAAGAAACGGCTTTGGAGTCTTGTAACTGTCGCAAAGACTTCTCTCTTCCAACTTGTGTTCAATGTCGTTCAAGTTCATGTGATACTTTTGCACACTGAACGGTATTTACCCGGCTATCAGGGAGCTGCGTAAAACTCTCCTAGACCATAAAAAGCCCAAAGTGCTATCCACCGTGCAATCGACTTGTTAATGTGTAGGATAGTCTAACATGGCTTAACGCCAAGTAGTGAAGGTTTGCGACATAACCAGCGTGAGAAGTTGATACATACACAGGCCAAGTAGGCCGCCATTCAAACCTGCGGCGTACAGTCGCCCCGCTGCCATACTCCATACAGGTGTTCACTGCATGTTTGTGTACGCGGTGTCGCACCATCAAAATGTGCAAAACGGAGCGCCCCGACGTCTCCATCTAAGTACCGAGCGCCCCGAAGTAACCATATCTCAAGTGCCCAGCGTCCCGATGTAACCATCTGTTGATACCGAGCGCCCCGAAGTAACCATATGTTAATACCGAGTGTCCCGAAGTAGCCATCTATTAAAAAACGGGGGCACCGAAGTAACAGTCTGACAAATACCGGGCACCCCGACGCAATCCTCTGCTAAATATCGGGTTCCTAACGTAACCATATGTTAAATACTGGGGTCCGACGTAACCATCTGTTAAATACCGGGGTCCGACGTAACCGTCTGTGAAATACCGGGCTGGCGTCTTTGTGGAGTCATCGCGCACGCTTGTCCGGCGTGAACATCCATGCTTATTCTTGCGCGGCATGGCTATGGGGGAGATATCTGGACACCACTCGTGCGTGCTCACACTATAGGCTTTGCTACTTCCGAAAAACCAGTCTTCCATGGGTCGTTCATTCATGCATCGACGGCACATAAACGCAATAGCCATTCATGAAAACCCAGGGATACTACGCCATCAGTCAAATCTAAACAATGGCTATGTTCCTTTTTCACATCCACGCAGACCCTCCGGGGCAACAGTGTCCCATCGCCATGTTAACCAGAGGCACGCGCAGCCCTTGACCACGGCACTCCGGACATTCACGGCACTCCAGTTTCCACTTCAGAAGCCTAGAGCGCTTTCTAGACCTCTGACGTTCCTGTACTCACAGTCCTGGATCGTCACATCCGCGACGAGTGCTGCAGCGCTGCAGCTCGCCGCCTGCTCCCGCGGCACTCCTGGCTCGGCGGCCCGCGCCCGCCCGCGGCCACTCACACACTCGGGCCCGGCACAGACCAGCGTCGCCAGCTCGGCTCGCGACGGCCCTCTCCTCTGGGGAGCGACGGGGCGGGACTATCGCCAGGCGAGCAGGCAGACAGGGGCAACCCCAGAGTGCGACGGCGACGACGGCGGCGGCGGCTGGCCGGCGCTGATAGCACGCTGCAGCGCCGCACTTCCGGGCTCCAAACACCGCGAAAACACCGCGCAAGCCTGCAGCGCCACCAGCCGTGAGGGTCGCCAGGCGACGACGCCAGGCCGGATGTGACACTCCTGCCAGCGCGGTTTCTCTTCTCGTCACCGGAAGGAAGCGGCGCTGACGTCCATGTCCGGCCGAATCCTTCACTCCGGCGATGCGTCTGTACACCCCAGATGAGGTTCCTTGACCTTAACAAGTGCCTCAATGTCACAGATTACTGTAATCGCCGCATTAAGCTATCTGCCGGAGGAATTGATCCCTCCTGGTTCTCAGGTAGGACAGTAGTATTAGCCTCATTATCCGAATAAAAACCAGGAGAATGAAGATGCATTTGAGTTGATATCTCGGCAACATGCTTTTACCGAAACAATAGCAGAAGGCTCTTGCCTCATCTTTAGAATCACGTCCGAAGTGTCAGCATCATTGACAAATTGGGCAAATCCAAAGCCTCCTCTAAGCTTCCGAACGGCAGCAGACGCTTTAAGAGCCCAAGCTAGGCCAAGAATCCGCGCTGGGATTGGAGGGACATTCAGGATTGATTGGATTCAACCGGAAGCTGTGTGGGTCGAACTGACCTGAAAATACCCTTTTTAATCGAAAACTTGCGTTGTACGGGCAAATTTGAGGCGACAAAGACCTAGCTAGGCATAATTAGGATAAGTATGTCACGCTCACTCAAGTGGTCACACTCGTAGCGGATGTCTCACGAAGCAGCCGAAAAGTTTTCACCGCACCTACTCTCCCCTCTCTCCACTCCACTGCGCTGCCAAATTCCGCGAACGCCATTTCCGTCCCTTTAGGAAGGCAGAGGTCCAAGGCTGATATTTGATTGGAGTTTGGATTGAATGGGAAAACTTTCAGCTGACATTCCGCGAATGCTTCTTCACCGGTAAACGCTGCTTGACGCATTGAATGGTCCACCACATGTGAAGCACTACCTGCCCACCAGGGTCATCATGACCCCAGTGAATGCCGTGATTATGCTGCACCTAGGTCACTGCCGCTCAGTCCAAGGCAACGACACACGAAGTCAGGCGTCCGAGACCCAGCAAACGCTGAGCGATACACTGCAAATACCAGCTCCGCCAGCAGGATGCTGATCCCGTTTGGTACCTGCCTCAGAAGCTCGACTGGCTTGGCTGCTGATTTACCGAGTTTCCACATCATCCCGCTCCCGCCCGCACGTGTTCCAGTGTGGGACGGCTTGCCTCGCTGGCCGGCGAGGTCACGGCCGCATATGGTGCCCAGCTGCGACCCACGGCTAGCCCGTTGACTTGTTTACACCCCGGGGACTTCCAGTGGCCATCTGTCGTGTCATGTACCCGACTCTTGAAAATTCATCTGATCAAGGAAAATTCGGTGGCTGATAGCGGTGCTGGGGCGGTGCTGTTTGCAGGCTTGTGGAATGACTGTCTGCGTCCGGCATTGCTGACCGCTGTCGCTTCGTTTCATCTCAAGACGATGGGCAGCAAAAGCCTCAAGTCTATCGTGGATCTCCCAAACGCGTAGACATGGACCTGGCTCCAAGGCCTGACGACCGTTCCAAACTGACGTTTAGATGAAAGGGAACCAAGCGGCACGGTAAGGGTCGCGAAGAGCAAACGCAGAGCAAAGACCGAGCGCGTCGGTGATAATACGCAAACTCAGTCGACCTGACCCGATCGCAAACACTCTGCCTTGGTCAAAATGAGCGTTGTTTCACAAAATGCGGGAGTGGCGTGTTTCAGAGCAGTGAGCTGCGGAAGTCGACCGCCGAAGGCCTGCTGGAGGCGTCCGACCCAGCTCCGGGTTACCATGTCGACCCACCATTAGTGGCGAGTCGATACGGACAGGCGCTGGTGACGCGGCGAAATCAGCCCCGACCCTGCGCTGACGACGTGGCACTGCTGTCGAAGCCGTCGCCACTCAAGGTCGGAGACGACGGCGGCGGCGGCGGCGGCGGCGGCTGGCGTCGGATACCGACACCGCCGCCACACGAGCAGCGGCCGTCGGGCGCATACGGGGAGGACTTCTCTCCAGCAGGACTTCTCTTCTCTCTCTCCAGCAGGGTGACGTTTTTTGCAGGGCGGCGGGGTGCACGCCAGGCAGCGTAAAATGCGCGACGACCCCTCACAGTACGCAGCGGGCCGCGGCAGGAATCGCATAGCGGCGGTCTGTTACGTGACCGCACATGTGATGTGGCCTCGAGCGGACGGAACAGCTGGGGGGGGGGGGGGGGGGGGCGTCAAAGTTCCAGAGAGATGCTGCGCAATATTTGACGCCGTGAGTTGGTTCCGTGTCGCATGAGTAGCGCTGCTCACATTCCTGCACCACGCTGTCTGGGTGCCGGCGTGAAACCTAGGAAAGGCCACAACCATGTCCGCGAGGATCATTTAATTATGACTGGTGAAGCGTAAGGATGTCAACATAGGTGTGCACGGATTCGGGTACCGCTGTTGCTTGTGTTGACGGGTCAGTGCCGGAATACTGAAGGCCAATACGTAAGAAAAGGAGATCATTTATCGCATGATGACGCAGTGCATCACAGCAGCATGAACCGTCGTTGCATTTATGTAGACTCAGCCATGCGTGCTTTCAGGACGCACCGTCCAATAACATCATTAAAGCTCAGTCAATTTCACGGCCCGTGCTGGCAAAAGATGGCTGTCGAAGCCACGCAGTTCGAATCAAGTTGTTACTGGATACAACAATCCACCGCACTGCCTTCAGGCACTCCATAAGGCGGTAGCCTTGTGTTCATTAAGCTCGCCGACAAATAGCATTTAAACGTTACGTAATGTGCGGTAATGTCTGCATCTAATGAGTTACGGTCCCAAAGGAGGTGCGTGGGCGGCTGTCGAGCGTGCAGGGGGTGTTTTGTGGCGTGTCCTGGGACCGAGAGCTCCCGCCGACCATGGGCTGGCTACGCCCGCAGTGCTGCCGGCGCCGGCCAAGACGCTGTAAACCCGGGGCGGGGGCCCAGAACACAGGCGACAATACGCAGCTTTGCAGGCAACACAGGTCTGCGCAACCTGTGCGCGGCAGAGCACGCGTGCGCTCTGGCACTGGAGGGACGGACAGACGCATTGTCCTGGAGAAAATCAGATGCCTAGAGTCACTTAACTCCACTGAGAAACACCGCAACCTTCACGAGAACCCGATTGCTATTACGTGGTTCTTAAAGCGTTTGCTATGAATCATCATTATCATACCGCCTGTATTTCGCAAAAGTATTGTCAAGTCCGCCGTAATGGTCTGTTTAACGGACAACACTATAATGCATTACGGACAGCATGACGATGTTCTGCAGACCGACATGCTGGACGTGCACATCTGCGACCGCGCTCAATTCCCGAGGGCGCCCACAAACGTCTGGACATCATCCAAGACCAATCCAAACTGCCCTCTCATGAAATCGCGGCGATGGGGCGGCCAGCATCTGGCCGCGCGTCATGCCGAGTCCAGGTGTTCAGCCCTCTGACGAAGCGCCCGCCGAGAGCTCTGAGCTTGCGGTGGAATCTGGCCGCGCGTCATGCCGAGTCCAGGTGTTCAGCCCTCTGACGAAGCGCCCGCCGAGAGCTCTGAGCTTGCGGCGGAATCTGGCCGCGCGTCATGCCGAGTCCAGGTGTTCAGCCCTCTGACGAAGCGCCCGCCGAGAGCTCTGAGCTTGCGGTGGAATCTGGCCGCGCGTCATGCCGAGTCCAGGTGTTCAGCCCTCTGACGAAGCGCCCGCCGAGAGCTCTGAGCTTGCGGTGGAATCTGGCCGCGCGTCATGCCGAGTCCAGGTGTTCAGCCCTCTGACGAAGCGCCCGCCGAGAGCTCTGAGCTTGCGGCGGATGTGCTGCTCCTCATCCCAGTGGTTGCCCCTCGGCCATGCACGCCACGGACGAGGTAACACCCCCTCGGCAGCTCGAAGGCACCGCTGGCTTTGGCAGCGCGACTGAAGGCCTCTAAGCCGTGCTGCCGCATCACAGACGGGGCATGACCTGCCCCGCCCGGCTGCTGCTGACGCATGCGTGCCTCAAGGCGCGCCAACGGAGGCTCCGCTGGAGGCCGGCCGTTGTGCGGCTCGCGCTTTGTCTCAAGAATTGTTACCGTCACGGACCTCTGAATCGTGGTATAACGAACATTGGAGGCACTCATTGATGGGTCAATACATGGACAGCCAAATTGCGCAGGTAGCAGGCGGCATTAGGTGAATAATGTCCAAGACGCGTGGTTGTGGCGACGGACAGGGCCTATGTGGGCTATGCGGATCCATGCGCATGTGTGGGGATATGTGTGGATTTGTATGGATGCATGTGGATATGGCTATGTGGATATATGCCAATAATTGTGAAGGCCATGCTGAATGAAATGCCACTACATAGTAAGGTGCAATCTTTTGGCCTCATGAACAGTTGCATTTCCATGAAACTGTATGCTTATCAAAACAATAATAGTTGAATCAAGCGAAAATATATTGCAAGGTGGTAATAAGACTTTAATCAAAGAAAGGAGCCAGACGGCCATGCCAAGGAGGGGCATAAATTACTGAACTTACTCATAACTTGTGGCGGCTTCGAGCCAAATCCCCAAAAGATGTTAGGCCGACAGGTAAAGAACGGGTGGGGCTGAAGAGGCACGCCGGGTCGGCAAACGTAGAGCAGACCCTGCCGCCAGCTGGTGACTGGGCCGCAGCAAACGGCGCCGGCGGATGTCACCCCCACGGGCGTCGGAGCGCGGCGGCGCGCCCGCGGCGCCGGCGCTCCCGGCAGCGGCCGGTGCCCTGCGGGCGCGTCACGCCGTGTTCGGGCCCGCTGCGCCAGCTGGCGCGCCGCGCTATTAGCCTCGGGCGAGCGGGCGCAGCCGAACGGAGCGCGCGCACTGGAGCGGGCGCCGGCCGCGCGCCGCCGCCT